CTCCGCCCCACACCGACTCCGCCCCGACCGCTCCCGCTCCGCCCCGGACCCTGCCACGCCCTCCATACGCCCCACCTCGGGACGCCGCCTTCTGCCCGGCTCCTCCCCCGGGCTCGCTCCGCCCCTCTCTAAGTTTCCGCCCCGCCCTGGCCCCGCCCTGGCCCCGCCCCCTAGCCTAAGGCTCCGCCCTCCTCTGGTTTCCTTCCTCGCCTAGGGCTCGGACTAGGATGCCCGCAGCTCGCGACTTCCCGGTCTCCCTGGTGCGCTGAGGACTTGCAGGGGGTTCCTGAAGCCGAGCGGGGCTGCTGGCCCGGGCCGCCTACCGACGGCCAAGACGCCGCCCAGGGCTCGCACTAGCGCTGGCTTTCCCTATTCCGGGAAGGTCCGTGGGTCGCGAGCGAGCTGCGCAATGCTCTCGACCCCGCACCCGGTTACTGAAGGAATACTTGCCTTTATTCATGCAGTACTCCTCTAGAGACCGTCAAGGACTGAGCTTGCAAGCGCATGGGATTGTGACTTAATACAGTTACAATACGGTTTATTAATTCTTTTCACCATCTAGTAAAAACTGCAACAACCATCTGGAAAGTGTTACTTTAGCAAAGAAAATCGGTAGTTCAGTGGGAGGTTGGGAAGGACCTGGCTGTGCTGTGGCCATGCCAGTCAGTGGTGTACATGTCTGTGCAACAAGCTGCTGGTTGGAGCTACTGCATTTCAATGTGTTCTTCGGGAAGTTACAACACTCACCCACGCTGTGACTGCCAAATCAAAATGACGTTGGGAGTTCGTCTGATCGGACCAGAGGCACAGCTGAGTGAAGGCATCGGAGACTGCGTGCTTACCCTATCCAGTTCTGATTGCTCCTAATAAAGCATCACATGATAAGGTTTAATAATCATTTGAACCTGACAGAAAATAAGACTTTCTGAGGCCATAAGCTGCTATAGTCACTAAAATGTGTAAACTCCAAAACTGTACAAGAACTGACACCAATGGAGATATTCACTAAAATGAGTGCGGCTCTAGCTGGAGGTACACAGACCGCTGGACCCTGAAGTGCTTGCTCTTCAGGTCTGCGATTTAAAAGTGGCCTCCAATGAAACTACATTGCAAAAATGGGGAAAAAAACCCAATGCAAAGAGTAAAAGAAGCGGGAAAGAGGCCCTGAGAATATTGTGGTAGAAAAAGAATCATGGACCATGAGCAAAAAGGTGGAGTCCCTCCCAGGCGCATTGGTAGACTGTGACAATATTTGGGATCCTAAAGAGATTTCAAATTGTCCAGAGTTAACTGAAGTTTTCCTTAATTTTCAAGAATCTGGTAAAGAAAAAGATAGAAAAAGAAAACCTTACATGACAGTGAGCCTGAAGACATCAGTCAAAGGGAAGAGGTGTGGGCTGCAGAGAGAGAGGACCCCCCCCCCCCACACACACACACACTGCAGTGAGAAGCAGTGTTTCCAGGCCATGGAAGGTGCAGCCCAGATGAGGCCAGCTGGGTGCAGGCTGGAGGCACAGGGCAAGTCCTCTTCAGCTGGGATTGTTTATGTAAACAACTGGCCTGGCATCCTTGTCCTGCTAGTCCAGAACATGTAACCTTGATAATTGTTTGCACTTTTAGACTTTTATGTTTTATTTATTGTGTGTTTGTTTGCACACACTCACCTACAGGCCACAGCACAGGCGTGGAGATCAGAGGTCAACTTCCAGAGTCAGTTCTCTGCTTCTACCATGTGGACCCCAGGGATGGAATAATGTCATTAAGCATATATATGTATATATGTAATTGTATATAATCTGGGTCTTGTTTTTTAATTACTAGTGTGAAAAAAGTAACTGTATTCTCATGAGAAAGCAAGTTCAATATGTTGTTTTGAAAATAATGACATTTTGTATGTTATTTGTATGTGTATGCAAGTAAGTGTGCAGGTCCAAGAAGTGCCTATGCATATGAATGCAGAGACGAGGGCAGAATGCCAGATAGCTTTCTCTCCCGTTCCCATTTTAAAAACAGCGTTTATTGGGGCTGGAGAGATGGCTCCGGGGCTAAGAACACTGGATGCTCTTCCAGAGGACCTGGATTCTGGAATTCACATGGCAGCCCACAACTCCAGTCCCAGGGGATCCAAAACCCCCTTCTGACCTCCTTGGGTACAAGGCATTTGTGGGGAGTATAGATATACAGGCTGGCAAATACCATATACATAAAATATCTTAATATCTTTTAAATTTTATTTTTATTATTTTAATTATGGGTATGTCGGGTGGGGATATGTACATATGAATGCAAGTGCGTGCCCACAGAGGCCATAAGTGTTAGAGCCTCTAGAGTTGGGTTACAGGCAGTTGTAAGCCACCTGATGTGGGTGTGGGAATTGAACTCAGCAGTATGTGCCCCTATCCACTCAACTATCTCTCCAGCCCCCCAAATAATTTTTTTAAAACCAAAAAAGGTTTATTATTTACACTTGGGGGCATGAGTGTGGAGGTCAGGAGACAACCTTCTGGAGTCTGTTCTCTCCTTCCACCATGTATGTATTGTTCCCCCCTTTTTTGGTAAACAGTTTTATATTATTTTAGGATAAATAGTTCTATCCTTAGAATGTAAGTACTTTTTAAATCACAGTGCATGCTTCTAATTTCAGCACTGGGGAGCTCAAGGGCAAGTGACTGTGAGTTCTTGTTCAGCCTGAACTACAGGATTTAAACCCTGTTTCAAAATAAATAAATTTTAAAAATAAAAGAGAGTGTGCCCTGGGCTGGAGAGTTGGCTCAGCAGTTAAGAGCACTGACTGCTCTTCCAGAGGACCTGGGTTCAATTCCCAGCACCCATATGGCAGCTCACACCTGTCTGTGACTCCAGTTCCAGGGAATCCAGCTCCCTCTCTGGCCTCAGCGGGCAGCAGCACACATGTGGTGCACAGACGAACAAGCAAAATACCACATACAAAAAACAAATTATTAAAAAAAAAAGTGTTGCCCCTAGGTGGCCAGCAGACACTCTCACTGGAAAATTGGGACCGGCTGCAATTCCATGTGACAGCACTGTGCATTTCTTTTTATAATTCTGATGCCTATGCATGTACCCAACTTCAGACACACTCATCAAAGACAGCCGCTGTGGCGCAGGCCTGCTGGTGTTGAGGATGCCTTCCCCTCTGTGGGCTGCACCACCACAGTGGGCACCAGGAAAACTGTGTGACCGGATGAACGCTTCTCAGTATTTCTGCATTCCCACCTGCTAATAGACTGTAAAGTCTATCTGGGAGGTAGGAAACATCGTTTTGTAGATCACATTTATGCGTTTGTGTGAGTGCAAAGGTTGGGAGACAGCCTGCAGGAGGCAATCTTCCCTTCTACTACGTGGGTCCTGGAGCTGAAACCGGGCATATCAGGCTTTTCTGCAAGTGTCCTTACCAGCGGCCACCTCACTGGCTATCGCTTTTTCTTAGTGACAGAAAAGAGTTTAAAGGATCAGAGTGATTACAGATAGTTAAGGGAATTGTTTGTTTGCTTGTTTGTTTTTTTAAAGATGTACCTTTATGTTGAACCACATGTGTGAGTGTGGGCATGTGCCTGTGCAGTGCAGGTGCCCTCCAGAGCCCTCGGGTCACCTGGAGCTGAGGTTCCCGGCAGTTGTGAACCACCTACCGTGGGATCAAAACTTAGGCAACTGAGTTTGGATCCTTCGCAAGAGCAGTATGGCACTCTCAGCCACTCTCGCTCCAGCCCCCAAATATCATTTCTTTGTTTAATAAATTGTATTTATGTTTATGTGTATGGGTGTTGTGCCTGCATGTAATATGTAACTTTATGTATCATCTGCATTCAGTGCCCATAGAAGCCAGAAGTGGGTACTGGATGCTCTGGTAATGGCATTAAAGGCGGTTGTGAGCTGCCATGTGGGTGCTTGGGAATCAAACCCAGGTCCTCTGGGAAAGCAGCCAGTGCTCTTAACCACTGAACCATCTCTCCAGACTCCAAACCAAAATACAGTTCCGTGTGTGTGTGTGTGTGTGTGTGTGTGTGTGTGTGTGTGTGTGTGTGTGTGTTTTAATGTTTGAAGCCAAGCATTGTGACACACACCCGCAGCCCCGGCTTCTCTGGAGGCTAAAGGAGATTCACTTCAGCCCATGAGTCAAGAACAACATAGGTAATATGACAAAACCCCATCTTAAAAAGAGGAATCAAGGCGGGCGGTGGTGGCGCACGCCTTTAATCCCAGCACAGAGGGAGAGGCAGAGGCAGGCGGATCTCGTGAGTTCGAGGCCAGCCTGAGCTACAGAGTGAGTTCCAGGAAGGGTGCCAAAGCTACACAGTAACCCTGTCTCGAAAAACCAAAAAAAAAAAAAAAAAAAAATCAGACAAAGCCACGTGAAAACACTGCAAAAGGATCCAAAGCCAACACTCGCCTGTCCTAACTGTCCTGGCTTGCTCTCTG